ACCTTGTTTGCAAATGTTTGCAGTTACTATTGCAAAACTTTCTGCACAGTTTGCAAATTTTATCAATGACACCACTAATGACAACTTGAAAACTGCAAAAAGCATTAAAATACTAATTTATAATGTAAAAGTTTTTGCAATTAAGCACTTGTGAAAATCGATGGATTTCCTTCCTTTCTTTGCAAAACATTTTCACCCAATAAACAGATTTGATGTATTTTCAACATTTTTTTATTTTATTTTTTTACACAAGGTGTCCAAATATTCATAAAAACAAAACAATAAATCAATGGCATTAAAAAACATTTTTAAAAATAAAGTCCTCAGTCAGATAGTAGCTGAATGTACATTTCTGCACAGTAAATGTTTCCATTGATGTTTTGGTTTGGTTTTCCTGAATGATCTGTGTCACTGATATAAACCTCTTTAACTTCTGTCTCCTCAGGTTGTTGGGATGGTGGGGACATAACCTGAACACTCGTTTTCAAATGACCAATGGTAAATATTTCCCTCTATCTGAAGCCAGGGCTGACTAAAAACTGGCTGTTTGCTGCCACCATGTGGCCCTCTGTGGTATTACAAGAGCAGAGCCAGACTCTCCTATTCATTTTACTTTATCTTTTAGGCTATAAAGTAGCTTAATGTTGTCATACTTTAATGTTTTTCCAGTGATGGAGCTGCAGCCCGGAGTGAACGGCTTCCGGCTCTCTAATCAACCCATTCTTCTTGTCTGCTCCCTGCAGGCTAGTTTGGAGGTAACTATTTCATTAGTAATATCAGATATTTTGTAATTAGGGGAATAATCTATGAGTTTAAAGATGGTTGTAATATTTCCCAGGTGTTCAATATGACGAGTATGCAGATGCTGCGGAGGAAGTCAGTACTCCTAACAGGGTACCTGGAGTACCTGATAAAGCACTACTACACAGAGGACCCGGCCCAGCCTAACAAACCCTACGTCCAAATCATCACGCCCTCTGACCCCAAGCACAGAGGCTGCCAGCTGTCTCTCTCCTTCTCCGTCCCCATCAAGAAAGTCTTCCAGGAGCTGGAGAAGAGAGGAGTGGCTGTAAGCGGCCCGCAGGTTTATACTCACTGCAGCTGAATTGAAAGCGTATTTTCTAATATGTGCTTTTTGTCATCTCCTGTGGCAGTGTGACATGAGGGAGCCCAGCGTGCTGCGAGTGGCACCGGCGCCGCTCTACAACTCGTTCAGAGACGTGCATCGCTTCATTGAAACCCTGGGAAAAGCTCTGGCTGCCAGCAGCACCTAGAGCTGATGAAGAAAACTGCCTCATCGACCTACATGCACTGAAAGTCCTGCAAATATGCCACTAATGAAAGAGGAAAATTCACATTAAAGAATGATAAAGTGCCTCTTATTAACTATGTTCATCTTTGGCCAAGATTTTACTCGTCGTCTATACAGGGGCGGACCTAGATGGGGGACCAGGGCAATCATTGGCCACCCCTACCCTCTAAAACAGATGGTGGAATATTCAACACATTTTAATTTTTCATATATTAACAATAACTAGACAACAAAAACACTGTG